GGAAGCTGGACTAGATAAGCACATAAGAAGCTGCCGTCCTCACACCAAGCCGATCCATTCATCCATCTCCGGCTACACCCACACAAAGATTTTTCCCCACCTCGGCTTCCAAACTGCAGCAGGAGGTTTGGATCAGCCACACAAGGTCACCCTGCCATCCTCCGCTGCCCCCGGGCTTTCCCTGTCCACGCTACTTTCTTTCTCAAGTCTGGCTTGTGTACAGTTTTCCCAGAAAGAGCACAGTCCACGTGTGCTAGCCAGCCATCTGGATGGGAAGGGGAACCACTTAGAGGATCCAACCCACATCAGAACCATTTCCCTTGTCTCGGGCTCCACCGTTCCCTTCCTGCCACCGGCCTCTAACCAGTGTGCTTTTTGAGGAAGCTGAGAGTCACTGTATTGCACAGTCGCCAACTCCAGGTTGGGAAATCCCTGAGACTTTCGGGGGGGGTGGAACTTGGGGAGGGACCTCAGCAGGGCATCATGCCAGGGATCCCTACCCTCCACAGCACCCGTCTCTGTCACCTGGAGATCAGTTTGAATTCTGGGAGATCTCCAGGTCCAGGCAGGCCACCCTACAGTACAGGAATGAAGATGGTTGAGGGAGGAAAGTGCACACAAAAGTCCCATGTGGATGCCCGGGCACAACTATGAACCTTTGCATTCACGGCAGAGACTCCACGAGGAGGTTCCTCCCTGTGCAGATTCAGAACTGTCTGTTTTGACAGATTCTCCGGGGTCTCGGGCAGAGAAAGGTCCTCCACCAATGTTCCCTCTAAGCTGTGGAGTCTTGTGAGCAAAAATTGTACTGTGTGAGCTACTGGCATTAAAGTTGTGAGCAAGCGATTTGGCTACGGCATCAATTAGTTTGCTCCGGAGCCCTCCTTCCTGAGCTAAGACAAAAATGTGTGAGCCGGAGGCTAAAAAACTTTGAGCTAGCTCACACTAACTCAGCTTAGAGGGAACACTGTCCCCCACCCCTCCAAACTGAGACCCTTGAGATGCAAGGGACTGGATTTGGGGGTTTCTTCAGGCCAGGCACATGCTCTGCTCCTGGCTTCTGGGTCCTTCGGTCCGATTCAGCAGGGCTGGCCTTTGTGTTTTCATAAGCGGTCAGGGAAAGGACAGTTAACCTGACCCTTCAAATGAAAAGGGCACCTGGTTGCCCAGCTCTGCCCAAGGTTGTCAGAGACGCCGCCTCTTGCTAGAGCAGCCCTCTCCCTGAAAGTTTAATCCGGGCGGGGGGAGCTGCAGAGAGAAGACTGAAGTCGGTTCCGAGGTTGCAGTCCCCGCTCCTTTATTCTTCAAGCCAACCACAAACGGTACTTAAAGAGCTGCCGGTTATCTCGAGGGCGGGAAGGCAGCAGGGTAGGTAGCCCAGCCCCACCAGGTCTCGGAAGCTAAGCAGGGCCGGTACTTGGGTGGGAGGCCAGCGAAGAAGGCGCTGCAGAGGAAGGCCACGGCCAGACCCCTCTGCTGCTCACTTGCCTCGGAAGCCCCTTGCGGCGGCGGGGGGGAGCGGTTGTCAGAAGTCGGCTGCAACTTGCGGGCCCTTCACAGGCGCACACAGGCTGCTCTCTCAAAGTGTGGAGGAGAGAGCTTAGAGTGGCGACCTAGGATCTGGGAGTGACCCGGGGTGACCTTGGGTGGTGGTGTGGATAAAAGGGAAGGGCGAAGGATGGAAGCGGCCACGAGTGCTCGTCGGGAAGAAAGGTGGGAGATAAACGAAGCGAAGAGATATCCGGGCTCTGGAGTCGATGCCCTGCAAGCCGATGCAGGGGGGCGCCCAGTCCAAAGGCTGCTCTCCAGCAATGCGGGGTGCCCCCCCTCCCGAATCCCATAGATTTCTTGGGGGGGGGGGGTGTATGAAAGTCTGGTCGTCAGAAAGCCGGTCCCTGACTGCCCCCTAGGCGGACGATCCCCCAAAGCGTGCGCCTGCCTCCCCCCCCCCTCTCTCTGACACTGCGGTGGAAATTTATTTTTTCCTCCTTTT